TTGGGCAATATTGGTTTAAACATCAGGTTCGTGACCTGTCCTGACTTATTTGTCAAGCCACAGATGTGGTATATGATAAGACGTCTATGGTCTACTCGTATATCTCGTCTGTGGTTGAAGATCACCTTTCTGTCCTTGATTTGAACATGCCTTTATGTTCAAATAATTTTAAACGATAATGAAAACTTTATTTGAACGTTTTATGAAACGTCAATTATTTCTACAAATATTTTTTGCGATTCTATTATATATTGTAATGTTACGAATGATATGAGAATGTTAAAACAGTTTAAAAATTGTCAAATCTCGCGTGATTTGTAATGTATCGAACGTTAAGTTCATAACTCGTGGTTAAAGTCAAGCCAAGGTAAAACATGTGATGTAACGTGTAAATAATTACTGTATATTCAAGAATTTATGTAAATATTGCATGTTATTTGTTCGTCTTAAGTGACAATTTATTGGGAAAGAAATAGTCAATTATAGATAAAAAAACTCGTATACTTTAAGCTAGTAGTTGATAAAAACGACAATGACCACTTCTCGTGTCGACGAACTAATCAATTATTTCAAATCGCACAACAAAATTCGAGAACAACAAAGCCACTCTGCCAAAGTACATAGTGTAGGATGGAGTTGCGACGGGAAGCTCTTGGCTTCAGGATCTTTTGATAAATCTGTTTGCATTTTTTCGCTCTGTCCAGATCGTTTGGTAAGTAAATCTAACCAAAATGTCAATCTTCACTGTTATGTTTTGATTTTTTTTATTTAATATTTAATTCTTTATTTAATATTTAATATTTAATATTTAATTTATGAAATGGACAGTTTTCTTGTTTTGATAATTTTATTTTTTATAATTTTGAAAACTATTTCAAACTGCTCTTAAAACTAACTTTCTATGTTTGTTAGAAACAAGAAACAACTTTCAGAGGACATGGTGGTAGTGTGGATCAATTATGCTGGCATGCCTTTTATCCAGAATTATTGTCTACTGCGAGCGGGGACAAGACCGTACGTATATGGGATACAAGAACTCAGAAATGCACGGCAAACATCAGTACAAGAGGTGAAAATATCAATATATCATGGTCACCAGATGGTAATACAATAGCAGTCGGAAACAAAGAGGATTTAGTGACTTTCATCGATGCACGAGTGATGAAGATTCGTGCCGAGGAACAGTTTAACTTTGAAGTGAATGAAATTTCATGGAACAAGGATTCCGATACATTTTACTTGACTAATGGTCAAGGTTGTGTTCACATACTTAGCTATCCAGACTTGGAACTGTTACATGTAATTAAGGCACATCCAGGGACGTGTATTTGTATAGAGTTTGATCCCACTGGAAGATACTTTGCAACTGGCTCGGCGGATGCGTTGGTTTCTTTGTGGGATGCAGATGAGTTGTGTTGTTTGAGAACGTTTTCGCGATTAGAATGGCCAGTGAGAACTATATCATTTTCTTACGATGGACAATTATTGGCTGCAGCATCCGAGGATCTTGTGATAGATATAGGCGAAGTTGAAACTGGAGAAAAAATTGCAGATATACCGGTAGAGGCAGCAACCTTTACAGTAGCGTGGCATCCGAAACAATATTTGTTAGCGTACGCATGTGATGACAAAGATACTTATGATAGAAAACGCGATGCTGGCAGTTTAAAAGTATTTGGATTTGCTAATGATTAAAATATTTTTAGACTTTTATATAAAAATATATTATTGTGCGAAAGAGAAAATGACTCGAATCGATCTTGTACCTGCCCTGACAATTTTTTAGACGTCTTAAATTATTATTGTTACAATTACACATTGTACATTGAAAGTTGTATATTGTATATTGTAAATTAGAAAATTCAAATAATCTTTTTTACATATATCGCGTTTAGACATAATTATTATATTACTGCAATTAAATACAATTTGCTATGATAACGTGTATAA